GTGTTAATCTGTTATCAGAGATGATTAAAGTGTTAATCTGTTATCAGAGATGATTAAAGTGTTAATCTATGAGTTGAAACACACCTAAGTGATATGTGTTTTCCCTGGTAAGACTGTCCAGGTGCCGGTCTTCTCTGGTTGCTGCCACTCTTCCTTTTCCTCCTGCTGTTGTTGGCTCTGCTGTTGCTGTGCTGCTGGAAGTACTGTGCCTGCTGCAAAGCCTGTTTGCAGGTACAAACATTCAGTTTGAACCCAGGAAACARTGAAATATTAAAGTCACAGTTAAATTAAAGACTTTTGTCTCTAACTTGTTGCAGAGTTGTCTGGCCCTGCTGCCTTGTTGTGGGAGAGGTAAGCTGTCTGCAGTGTAAATGTAACAATCCCAGCTGGACTCATGTAGACACTCTTTGTCTTGTTTCTTCAGGGCGCATGGTTGGCTTTAAGGAAGACGAGTATTTGCTCCGTCAGTCTCTGCTCACCTCAGACCATTTGGACACACCAATGGTGAGGACGGGCCCACCAAAAGGAACCGACGTAGTTCGCTGGAGAGTCACAGATAACGTTCACCGCCCCCCCAATCACCCCCAAGCTCTGATKAAACCCAACCCTAATGAGATGAGTAAGTTTATGATTGTTTAAAACACTTTTTTTTTTTCAAAATCTTTGGAAATTGCAACTTGTTTCACCCCTTTTGCTCTTTTTGCAGTCCAGTTTCCGATCTCGCTCCGACTCAAGAGGTTGTTCTCTGAGAACTTCTCTCACCCCGAATCAAGAGATGCTGAGCAGCTTCGCATGGAGGTGGCGGAAAACGTGAGGGGGATTTTTGTGTTTGTCCATGGATTTGTGTGTTTGTTTCAACTGTACCACTGAGGACTTTGTTCTTCTGTCCAGTTAAACCAGGTGTACAAGCAGATTCCTGGGGCACAGAAGGTGCAACAGACCTCGTTCAGGTAACATTATTATTTAACTCTGAAAAACTGCATCTGATTGGTCATAAATTTACTGCTTTTGTTGTTTGTTTTTTYCAGAATGCAGAAAAATGCAGGAAAAAGGTGAAGATGATGGAGCTCTGCAGTTTATTGTCCCTAACCTCTGACCCGGACATAACTAACTTCTCTGACCCCTCTGTGCCCCTCAGGCAGGACCACACCATCGTGGACACAGTTTTACCTGCTCCCAGAAGCACTTACCAAGATATCATTAAACTCACTGAGAAGACTGTTCAGTCTGGAAACTTCAGTYACCTGAAAGTGATGCCAGGCTACTACACTGTAGCCTCAGACAGAGGTAAATGATTGACATGGCACAGTGCTGAACTGGCCTGCCAACAGTCTAGACCTCTCACCAGTTTAAGACATTTTGTGTATCATAAAACAAAAAAGTAATCCAACAAAAAAGACCCAGTTAGAATAACTCGATTTTTACGTTAGACAAGAGATTTCTCTCCAAAAGCTCCAACAACTGGTCTCCTCGGTTCTTGGATGGTTACAAACTGCTGCTAAAAACAGAGATAAACAACTTTTAGAAATGTGTTTGAAATGCCCATTTCTTTCCTTAAAATTGTAGAAWTTAGTAGTTATTGCATTTTGTATGTTTTATTGTGAACAAAACGTTGGTTTCTGAGGTATTTAAACAGTTGCATTCTGTTTTAAGTGCATTTTACACACATTCCTACTTTTTCTGGAACTGTGGTTGCAGCTGAGTGATCTCCAACACACGCTCCAAACACTAATCAAGCGTGCAAGATTTTAGTTTAAAACTTTGACATACAAGGCAGCAGGTGATGTGCATTCCTTCAAGTATTGCTAGTTTCTCATTTGATATCAGGATGGCAGCATGCATAAGCCACGTGTTTCATAAGATAAGAAAAGGTAAGATAAGGTAAGATAAGATAAGATAAGATAAAATTTTATTGATCCCACAGTGGGGAAATTTGAACATTACTGCAGCTCAAAACAGTGGAGCTGCAGTAACAGGCTGCCTGCCGTGGCGCCATTCTTGGAAACAGAAAAACCACACAAGGGAAGGGAAGATGAGGAAAAAAACAAAAACATCATATTATATCAACACTGTGACACACTATGGTGTTTATGAAAAAAAAAAGCCTCTGCATAGGGCAGATTTATTAGCCAGAGGAGTAATTGAGATTAGGGGCCCCAAAGAATCTATTCCCCAGTACAGCGCAGCCATGGTTCAGAATATTGATGGAACTGTTCATTCTGTGGGCCTACAGCCTGCTCTGGAAATCAGATCAGCCAGGTGAGGGAGGAGGGACGGGAAGGTGTGGGGCAGAGCCTTGTCGACACATCCAGCCACGAAGAATTTAGTCAACAGATCAAGGCCGTTGTCGGGGAGATCCAGATTCTGTAATCAGTTGTTTTGGGAACAAAAGGGACAGGCAGASYATAACAATTTTCCCTCTGRCTTAATGTCTGCTGGAAGTCTCAAGGTGGTGAATCCAATCAGACAAGTAATGTGGACAAATTCCACCGAGCCGATCTATCAGCTTCTCCAAGATAAATTCCATCTGGCCAGCAAAGTTCAGGGACCACAGCCGGCCCGCGACCCTCAGTAAAACCGCTTGCAGACCGAGTCCAGCTCGCTCAAGGCCAATGTCTAAGTTCTGATAGAATACGGCCATCCATCAAGTTGGTCAGTCAGCCAGAAAGTGCAAAGCCACCGACGCTGTTTTGTAGAACACCAGGAGACCACCTAGCCAAACTGTAGAATCCAGTGATCGAAGTCCAGACATAAATCCAGAACAGAGAATAACAAAGGTCTCACCTTCGACATGTCCTCCCATGGAAGAAGAAAAATAAACTTTGTTCCAAAWATTTTATTGAGAAACCAGCTAACCAAATCCATAAAAATATGCAATGATTCTTATTTTCCTTCGCAGAGGCTGATGGGGCCGTGGAGTTCCAAGAGGACGTGGAGTCTTTAGATGTTCACGTACCACTTTTTGTCAAAGATGAAGATGACGACAAGAAACAGCTGCAAGTGGAGGCCAAGGATGTGCCACTGGGCATTGCGGAGATTGSAAAACGTTTTGTCAACATCACCATCATCAAAGAGCATGGTGAGAAGTCTCTCATAGTGGTTTGAGATTGAAAATCAAGTGTTCAGTTGTTTCATTAGAACCAAGGCATAGAAATGTGATTCAGTGATGGCACCAACTGATTTTCCCCTCATCCATCTTCTCAGCCACCAGCGTCTTCTCGTTCCTCCAGCCCAGTTACACCTACAGCAGGCAGGATGGAGTGGCCAACATTCCAATCAGCAGAGAGATCATAGAGGATGGACGCACACAGGTCACCTACCGTACACGAGACCAGACAGCCAAGGATAAGAAGGTAAGCTGGGTGGTGCTACAATCAGACCATCTCAGGATAGTCACTTCTAACATGGTTGTTYTGATCAGCACTAAGTTAACAGTCATTTTTACTCCCAGGATTATATAAATGTAGAAGGAGATCTGTCCTACGGTCCTGGTGAGACTCAGAAGGTGGTTCCTGTCCGTCTTCTGGAGCTGAGTGAAAAGGATGCCTTGTTAGAAGACAAACCGGTCAAACAGTTTGTCATGGACCTCAGTAACCCACGGCAAGGTGCCAAACTAGGACGCTACCCGAGAACTACMGTCACCATCGCAGACCTGCCAGGTAAGATGGATTCGGCTCTCCTAAAGATTTTCAAGCAAAGCGACTGAACTTTGTTTTGTTTTAAAGATGCTCTTCAGAGGCCGTGCACACAGAAATAGAATGTGCAAATATTTCAGCCTCTACATGAAAACATAATTTGTTTTAAATGTTGTAAGTTTAAGTGTTTGTGTGGGCTGAACTCACCAACACAGCACTCTCCCTCCCTTCCCTCCTGAGGGTCATTAGGGTCTTTGTTGGRCTAATCAGCTTGAGAGATGTCTTGGTCACACACATGAAGGTGCAAGTCCAATACAGCTACACCAAACCAACAAAGAAAMACCCTAATAAGCCTTAGGATGGAGGGAAGGGAGAGTGATTTYCATGGAAGTTCAGCTTAAATAAATGGAAAGAGCAGGGAAACCACTACAACATGCACAGTAGCCCTCAAGGGCCAGGATTGAGAAGCCCTGGATAACTCCTTACAACCTTACTTCCAATTGATTGGTTGTCTTTTTATTAATTTTTTTTACAAACCTTGTTTTAATCTAGAACCAAGTGTGATGACGTTCAAGAAGGGCACCCAGAACTTCAGTACATCAGATCCAACTTACACCATCCCTGTGGTCCGCACTCGTAACCAAGACAGTCCTGCTACTGTGAAGTGGCGCACCAAGAAGGCTCAGCGCTTTGATCTTTCTGGTCCCCTCACGTTTGGTCCTGGAGAAACTGAAAAGAACATAGTGATTGACCCAAGAGCCCACCCTGGACCAATCCAACCKGAGACCTTTCAGCTGGAGCTGTTTGAACCCAGTACTGGTGCTATGATTGGAGAACGGAAGACCACCCTCGTCAATGTTACAGATGGAGGTGAGGCATTTCTAACAGGATTTTAGTTTGTTTTTTCTTTTTTGAATTGGGGGTTTCTGGTCTAGTAACAGAGACCTTTGCTGAGATACTGGACAGGTTTTGATTCTTGATTTTAATCTTTTTCAAATAGTTCCAAGATCTCCAGAAATAGCCCAGTTGCAGAAGAAAGGCTTCATAAACCAGAAAGCCACATCCCCTGGTGGACACCTTCTTTCCCCAGAGAARCTAAAGGCTAAAGCAACTGGTCCCAGAAACATCCACCTGAACTGGGATCCACCACCTGGTAACCCACTGGGATACAAGGTACATCTACTTCACTCTGATTCAGACAACTTTACTTATCCCCAAGGGCAGTTTCCAGGTTCACACAGACACAAACCAATGCTTATACTGTTCATCAAAAGAAAAGACAACTTTACAAGGCTTGCTTTCTATCAAATATGTTCTGCTGTTCAGAAACTCAGTAAATTTGACTTTTGATGTCTTTGTTTTAGGTGAAGTATTGGATCTATGGTGACCAAGAGAAAGATGCCAAAGTCTTAGATGTAAAGACTCCTCAAGCCGAGCTGACAAATTTGTACCCCTACTGTGATTATGAGATGCGAGTGTGTGCCTATAATGCAACAGGAGATGGTTACGATACAGACATGGTTTCCTGTCAAACACTGGAAGATGGTAATTTCCTGAAATTACTTTTGTTACTTATTAAAAAAAACAGTTGTACCTCAGTTACTGTAAAACAAATTAGTTCAAACTCACAAACTGCTCCTGCTGTGTCCTCCTGCAGTTCCTGGTGAACCTGGACGCCTGGCCTTTAACGTCATCAGTCCAACCGTCACTCAGGTCAGCTGGGCAGAGCCTGCAGAGACCAATGGCAACATTACAGCCTATGAAGTCATCTACACACCCATTGATGATGAACAGAGTAAGCACTTCTACAGTGGTAGACCTCTGCATGGGTTATTTAACGCTCTAACAATGTTCTGCTCCTCAAACAGAGCCAGTGGGAGCAGCTAAGAAAGTGAAGATTGACAATCCCAAGAAACGGATGCTGTTGATTGAAAACCTCCAAAATGGTCAAACTTACCAGTACAAAGTCCGTGCTAAAAACAGCGTGGGCTGGGGTCCCTTCAGAGACGCCACCATTAATCTGGCATCCCAGCCTGCCAGACCCATGTCCAGTAAGTCTGGCACACCCTTGACTCGGTTGTTTAGTCTTTCTCACAAATAAGAAACATTTATTTGTGTTTTCTTTCTGTCTCTAGTTCCCATCATTCCAGATGTTCCTATTGTGGACGCAGAGGCAGGAGATGAGTACGACAGCTACCTGATGTACAGCAATGATGTGCTGAAGTCGCCAACAAGCTCCAAAACACCAAGTGTCTCTGGAGATGGTGGGTACCCAGGACCAAAARCACAAGTCAAAAGCTGATGTTGTGCTCAGTTCTAATACATTCAGACTTATAGCTGCAATCAAACATTATTATCCAATCACTATAGACATTTATGTCTAATAATTMTGGGCCTTCATTTATTTGAGTCATTCCTTAATGAAGATTGTGTGATTGTGTTCTCAGTGCTCCAGAGTTTCTTCTTATAACRGGTGTGCTTCTCTAAAAGCTGTCCACTTGTGTCACTGTCCTTTAAAAATGGTTGGAAATAGACWGAACCAAGAGTTCTTGGTCAGATGTGTGGCAAATGTTGTCACTCTGCCCGGATACCTGGAAGAATGATGGCCCTTTGCTGGCCCAGATGTGGTTTGCCAGAGGTGGTCCATGCATGGACCAGCACTACATAAGTCAAGCTACAACCAGGCCTGCTCTGTGGGATGCTGCAGTTATATTCTGAATATCAAGTTATAAAGTCTCTTCTGTTTTTCTCTGCATTTGTTTAAAAAGTCTAAACAGTTAGTCAATAATTTTCACTCTTTAATGTGATAAAGAACATTTGGTGAAACTGTGAGGCTAAGAGATGGAAACGRTTCTTTTTGTGGTTGTTTTTTTATRGCCTCCATATGGCKGGCATTTTCACTTCAGGCCACACCCAACCCACAGCCTGCCTCCAACACATCCACACATGCTTRATGTGCAGATGTGCTTCACAAACCGCAAGCTCTTTCACAACTAAAACTGCTGTCACGCCTGCTGTTRGCAGCCAAATTATTAGTCTTTTTACATTCTTTTTATTCCATATTTTTAAGACATATTGGGTTTAATTGATCTTAACTACAGCCTAATTTCTGTAAAATTTGGAACATTGTGTAAATTGTAACAAAACAAAAAACAGAACGCAATGATTTGCGTATCTTATAATCCTGTATTTTATTTACAATGGAACATAGTAAACAAATCAAATGTTTAAACAAAAACAAATTCTAAAAAAAATTTGTTTTGAGTTTTATTACAGCAACACATTAAAAGAAGAGACAGYGCCATGTTTGCTACTGTGAAGCATCCCCTCTTCTTTCAACAACAGCCTGTAAACATTTAGGAACTGAGGAGTTACTGCAGTTTTTGGAGGTCCACAGAAGACGGCAGCACTTCTGGATGGAGTTCACACGTGGCTTCTTTTAGAGCTTTAATTATCATTTATCAATAGCACAGAAAGCTGTTTACAGACAGTGATTTGTGGAACTGTTCCTGAGCCCATGTTTTAAATATAAAGGCCCCGGAGGGCCTGACGATCATTGACAACCAATCCTCTGAGCGCAGAGATTTCTACACATTCTTAAAAATCTTTTAATTACTTAATGAACTGTAGATGAGATGTTCAAAGCTTTCACAATAATCTATTGAGGAACATTTTATATTTTGTAATTCGTCTTCTATCTTCAGATGTACCGTATTTATTCACGTATAATACGAAAAATTTAATCCATAAAATCATCCATAAAGTTGGTGGGTAGTATTAAACTCGGATAAATATTTTTACTTATGTACTTTAACTGAAATATTAGCAAAATTATTGAGTC